CAAAGCCCCAGGAGATAGCTGTATGTCATAGTTGCACATCCTTCTAGTTGCCATATGTGGGACGCGGCCTCAGCATGGCCGGAGAAGCAGTGCATCGGTGCGCGCCCGGGATCCGGACCCGGGCCGCCAGTAGCGGAGCGCGCGCACTTAACCGCTAAGCCACGGGGCCAGCCCATAACGTTTATTTTTAAAAAAGCATACAGGTCTCCTTTCAACAAAAAGATAGCCAAAAAGAAAACAATTATGGATCAATTTAAGTTCCCTCTAACAATCCCAAACTTAACTGAAGGAGAAAACTAGTTTTTAGAAGGGGCAAAAGATCAAAATCCTTACGCAATTAGTTTTTAGAAGGGGCAAAAGGTCAAAATCCTTACGCAATGTTTTATGAGAATGTCTTACACAATGGATCTATGGGGAGCGGGAAGTGGCATGTAAAAAGGGTTTCCATTGTGTTGTTAAATTCAGATCTTTAAAGTCAGTTTTCTCAGAAAATATATTAAGTATATTTTTAAGTATAGTTTTTGGAATAAAAATGCCTTACATCCTGATCATATTCCAGGAAAACATGAAAGTTGCGATCTTTACTGAGAACAGGGTGAGAAGAGAGCCGCTGAAGAAAGACTTCATGGGAGGACACAGTCTTCTTAAAGACAGCAAGATATTCACTGAAAGAGAAGCACACAAGCCATCCATTTGGCACCACTCAACTAACTGCTCCAATTCTGCTCATCATTGTTATCTCATCATTGTTCTGCTCATGCCACTAAGCAAAACACCTGAGTGGACCAAAACATTTTGGTATAACTTTTATCTAATTAGGTAATTTAGTTAGGTTGCCATTTTGTAATCTGTGGAATGAGCCAACGAAGGGGGAAAGTGGTATTGTAACTGGACTTGACAGAACAAGTATGTGAAGTCCCAAACCTACATGCAACGCTTGCTGGTTATCTAGCAGCCACAGAACACTGGTTTCTTTAAAACAATGAAAAGCCTTTACATTTGCAGCCATGTACACAGCACTGAGTCTAATAAGGCTTGGAATTATCAGAAATTATAAAGCGACTTTATCTCAATCTAGACATTAAAGATCACTCTAAATATTCCAGTGGTAGGAACTGGAGTCTGTGGTGCTCGGTGCTTTATCCTCAGATCTGATCATTACAGACACTCAAGTGCGTGCTGAATGATGCAGTACCTGGAGGTGTGTGAGCACCAGCCCTAGACAACATGGGCATGGGGCAGAGCACTGACGAGAACTGCTGCAATAGGCACCTGAATTCCAATACGCTGATGGTGGAAGAGGGGAGGGAGCCAAGATGAAGAGCGAGGATGGTTTCATAAGAAACTTAACGCAAACCTCCAACTATAATACAGAATAAAGAATCCTTTTCTGTTTGAAATAATTAAAATCACACCACATTAAAACACACTTCCTGTGGACCTGGACTTCTTTCAAACCGTCAATGTGATCATTATTCAGAATGCTTCTTTCCAATAGCATTCACTGCAATCTAGTTTAAACTATACTTTTAGTAACCAAACTTCAGGGACAAAAGCTTCCTACATTATCCACAGCCTGAAGAATTATTTATATATAAAGATACAAAGGTTTACTTACGTCTTCACTACGCCAGACCAGCATTCTACAACAAGTACTGTCTACAGAGGGGAAAACAACTAGTCTATCCAGTGTCAGTGGCCCCCAGAGAATCACTGTCTAAAGTACAAAGACCATGCTCCACACTCTGCAAAATGTAGCTTTAGAAGACAGCACTAGGCAACTAATTAACTGCTGTACTTTAAAAAAGTTAGTTACCAGGTTTTTTAAAATTTCTGTACATCACCACTTTCCTCCTTCTCAGAAGATAAAGCTCCACCAAGAAAACCCACTTACGCTTCCAACTCTTGCTTCATCTTGGCAAATTCTTCTTTGGTCATAGACCCTTCACCCTCTCCCAGTTTCTGCATCTTCTCTCGAGGGCCATCAAAGTCAGGCTTTGTAGGAGCAGGTGGAATCTGCAGCAGAGGCAGGTAACTAATGAGTGATGTAACCTAGCAGTGATGTTCTAGTCAGTGCCTATGCACAGGAGGCAGCCAGCCCAGCGGGGCTGACTAAAGGTCAACCTGTTTCTCTCTCAACCTTATTCCTTCGGTAATTTAAAAGTGTCCTCCCCACAACGTGGCACTAACTTTGCTATCATTTGTTCAGTTTACCCATTACACACAATTGGCAGGGTACAACTGTGTTTATCCTGCTTCGATGTCAGTTTAAAACATATATATTACCATCAATGCTAAAATGAAGCCGATGAAATACCGTAAGATTATATAGTCTTTAGACTTCAAAAGGAATTTTTAATTCTAGAAGATAATCAAAACATTTTAATTTTGAGGGAACAGAACATGCTTCAACACAATCTTCAGTACTAATTTTGTTTAATTATTTGGCCAGATTCTTCAGTCTGCCTGGCAGGACAAGCCACACTTAATTCTTCTTTAAAAGTGGCTAAGTCTCTTCCCATAGCCATGCATTAGCTCTCAAGTGCTGAGCACCAAGACAAGTGCCTCCTTTACTCCTTGAGCAGACTACTACACTTTTGATAAATCTATTGCATATCATCACCAATACAGAGATTTTCCTAGAAATCAATTCTACTTGATGCCTCAAAGAAAATGCCAGAGAAATAACTAACTCAAAGGTAGAAAAGACTTAAATCATGAAATGGTTTAATCCTTATACTGTACAGAATGTAAGACTATGCTGCATCTCATAGCTGCTAACACTATTGTATATTTTAGACTTTAACAGAAACAGTACGTACTCTAGTTGGCAGATGAAATCAGACTGTTTTCACAATCCTTTTATAAAAAGCAGATAGAAGTCTCTTTAAACAAAATGAACAGCAAGGTAGAAAAAAGAGCTTCAGTAATTATTTGATTTTCCAAAATGCACTTACAATAAGCCCAGCATAGTCTGTAGTTTCAATAAGAGTGTCATGTAGCCACACAAAGTCTTCATGTTGCCTTGTAACAGAAAACTCTGGGCTCTGAAACGTGGGCAGCGTGGTCTATAGAGAAAGAAGTGAGAAGTTAATTGGTAACTACTTTTAGATAAAGTGGTTTGGGTTTCCTGGGCTGCACTATGAGAAAATTCTGCATAATAAAACATCACAATGAGATCCAGTAAAGAAAAAAGCAGCACCACATGATCTCTCCGCCACTACTGAAGTCATAGCTAAGATTCCATGCTTTTTATGGAATTCCTTCCACAAAACTCCACCTTTCAGGTCAATTCAAACAGATATAATTGTGTAGTCTTCACGCTGCCTCCTGAGTAACTGAGGTATGCTAATCAAGCCACCAAGGTATTAAGAGAAAACCACGTGGGAAAGGACCTTATGCTGAAGATGGCATATACCAAGAGGTCTAGCATCAAACTGCCTGATTCAAATTGTGCTCAGCCATTTCCTTTATTTAAACCCGTGCCTCAGTTTCCTCACCTGTAAAATGGGGATAATAGAACACCATCATAAGGTTCTTATAGAGAAAATTAAATCCACGTAAACCCTTCACCAGAGTGCCTGGCATAAGATGAGCATTCAATACATTTTAACCAGTGTGGAACATAAAGGAGGCTGAAAATGTTCCTGGAAGAACTGACTCAGAAATTAAAACTTCCCACGTTTTTCAGATTGGCATATTGCTTTTGTCAAATTAAAAATTTGGAGGAGGACAAAAGTCTTTTGCATCACAAGAAATAGGTGGAGTGAAGGCCAAGAACCTAGTAAATATGGGAAAAGCACATACTTCCCAGGCATGCAAATCAAAAACAAAGGTGAAAGAGTGGAGCTGTGCAGCTAGGCAGCTCCACCCAGATCACTTCGCGTGGTTTGCTTCCTCATGGAGCAGAGTACAAGCCACGCTTGATTACATCAGCAATGCCCACTGCACTAGGGCTCCACCATAGCGGAAAACACTGAAGCAAGAGCACTCATCTGATGCTTTCTACAAGCAAGATAAGGGAAGTTCTCACTGGGCAGCAGTGCTACACACAAACAAACAGCAACCATTTCGGTTTAGGATGTCTCTTCTAAAGATCCGCTGTGAATAACAAGGCTGCAACCTAGCATTGCTTTTATTACTGAAGTCATTCTGTCACTTACCTTGGTGTGCACTGTAAATTTGACCTTATCTCTCTCACTGAGTGCATCAGGTATGTCAATCTGAAGCGAGGGATCAATATTCAGGTCCACAGATACAGATCTCAGCTGAAATACATTTTTTTGGCGATTAGTCTCAAATTCATTTTATAATTTTATTTATTTATTTTCCCCCCAAAACCCCAACAGATAGTTGTATGTCATAGCTGCACATCCTTCTCGTTGCTATATGTGGGACGCAGCCTCAACATGGCCGGACAAGCGGTGCGTCGCTGTGCTCCCGGGATCTGAACCCGGGCCGCCAGTAGCGGAGCGCACGCACTTAACCGCTAAGCCACGCGGCTGGCCCTCAAATTCATTTTAGTCCTAAAAGGTATTCTTCCAAAAATGGGAGTTAGTCACTAAAAAGCAGTCTCTACAAGATCATTTAGAACCAAGCCAATGGAGATATATCTAAGTTTATTAGAAACTGTGGGGAAACCTGCTCTTAAATGCATGGGTGGGTCCAAAGTATTCCTGTAATCTGAATGAAACAACCAAATGATTCCAATATCAGGTGCATTACACATTTTATGTCTACTTGAAAAATACATTTAACCAAATACTTGAACTGTACTAAGAAAGCTTGAACTAGATATAGACAGAACAAAATCTTGAACTTCTTACATAAATGCCCAAACTACAAAGAATATTCAAGAGGCATTAATCAGACTGTACAGGGCCAGCCCCGTGGCTTAGCGGTTAAGTGCGCGCGCTCCGCTACTG